AATGCGCCAAAACTGTGCAACGGAACCAGTGATAAAAAAGAAATTAACACCGAATTTGATCGAGGCAACAATCATCAGCGGTATATTCAAATGGGAAGGTGTGCGTCTTGCTTTTGCAATAACTATAAATAAAGCACAAGGGCAATCATTAACTATAGCGGGTTTGGATTTGAATGTGCTTTTCACATGGCCAATTATACGTCGCCTGTTCACGAGTTGGGTCACCACAAAATTTATATATTTACACACCAAATGAAAAAACTTAAAATATTGTTTATCTGTTAGCATTAACGTAAATAAAAAGGTCTTCTGTTTCAAAACTCTATATAAATGTGTCTTTCTTTGGCGTAGCAACGCGCGCCGGGTATTGCTAGTTTGTTTATGAATTACGAATAAATCTGAAATTACGATAATTTGAAAATGCTTTAAAAAATACTTTTCCTGATCAAAATTTTCAAATCGCTTAAATGGAAACCCCGAAAATGACGCTCGATAATATTTTTTTTTTACTCCCTAGATGAATCCATTTATGTACATATGACCATACTTATTTTATTTATCTAGCTCAACCCGCTCCGGCTTGAGTATGGTAAGAAAATAACTTGTTTCAAATCCAAGCTATTTGGACAATGTTTTTGAGAACTACCTAAACTCATACACTCATCATTTGAACATGAAAAAGTCTGTTTTACAAAAGCCAAGTCATGTTTTTCCATTTTATTTACCGACTCTACACCTTTTTTAATGGTTTCGTTCCTTTTACATTAAAATAATGCGTTATTTTAGCTGCTATTAATTTTGCACAGAAAAAGTAATAATTTGACCTAATGTGCAAGCAGAGAAAACCTTCGAATCCTTCATCGAAATCAAAAAAACGAAACAAAATTTGTGTTTTATTACAGAAGTTATTGCTGCAACCTGTTATTTAAAGATAAAATATTTATAGCTAATTTTAAATCTGAATATAACATGTAACTCAAGTCCGTATTTTTTAATAGGTCCTTGCCAGGAAAAAATTCCTAAACTGCAGATCGGAAAATTACTGCGTTGCGACTAAAATTTTCAACAATTTGAATATGACAACTTCTTAAGCAATTTTCACTTGATTTCATTAA